TTTACCACCGTTTCGAATCTGCTCACAGGGCATAGACCGGTGGACAATGTTCGAAGGTGATGTCCGAAGGTGATGTCCGTTGGTAACTCAGCTATTTAAGTCAGTGTGTGGGCTTGGACGACTGGTGCAGTAGATCACTACCATGGTACACAGGAAAAAAAATGCACTCTGCAGTATGATCATTGCTGTACTCTGTGAGGAGGTGGAGGAGGAGGAGGAGGAGGAGATGCCAAGAAGGGAATGGTGCAAGGACTGGTTGCACAAACGAAATGAAAGGGGAAGCCATGCAACCATTTTCCAAGAATTGAAAACCGGCTATGAATCGGACTTCACGAACTATATGCGCATGGACCCAAATACTTTCTACGAGTTACTGGAAAAGTGACTGCCGACATCCTTCGTCATTCCTTCTCGTGTTCCCTCTATCCCTCTTCTTCCTCCTCCTGTTATAACCAAGCAGGACACCTGTATGAGGGAGAGCATTTCACCTGCAGCACGTCTGGCCATGTTAACAGGATAATTGAGACCTAGTGAACTGACAGACTTTGAAAATCCTGTAACCAAGTGACTTTGTCAATCGTGTGCCTGGCAACATCGTATACTTCCACACCAGACAGTGTGTCGTTTCGATGCTGCGAACACGGACAGTGTCCGGTACACCACTTGGTGCTAGCTTCTGACGTCATCAGCGAGCCTTTTCGCTTTCCACTCCTAGTTGGTAACGATTTTGTCCGTCGAACATAGTTCGATCGTGTAAACGCACCTTTAGATGTTGACGCGGCAGAAATAAAAAAAAAGAAAAATAGTTAAGATTTTCTCTCTCCAATCAAATCTTTTTTTTCCCATTCAAAATCCAGATACGCCAATACATACCACTTCTCCCCACTTCACCCATCTCACCAGGCAGTGTAAACGTTTCACCCCCATCATCATCTACCACATTTTCTCTCACACCTACCCACACCTCTGTCCCGGACGTCTCCTCTTCTCATAAAAAAAAAGCTCCCCACTCAACTCCCCTCCAGAAACTCCGCAGTCCATCCAAGACTTCCTAAACATGGCCCACAGGACACACCTCTCCCTCATCCACCCTCCGATCTTCCTACTCCCATTCTCAATACAGTGAAAGTGACTGCCGACATCCTTCGTCATTCCTTCTCGTGTTCCCTCTATCCCTCTTCTTCCTCCTCCTGTTATAACCAAGCAGGACACCTGTATGAGGGAGAGCATTTCACCTGCAGCACGTCTGGCCATGTTAACAGGATAATTGAGACCTAGTGAACTGGCAGACTTTGAAAATCCTGTAACCAAGTGACTTTGTCAATCGTGTGCCTGGCAGCATCGTATACTTCCACACCAGACAGTGTGTCGTTTCGATGCTGCGAACACGGACAGTGTCCGGTACACCACTTGGTGCTAGCTTCTGACGTCATCAGCGAGCCTTTTCGCTTTCCACTCCTAGTTGGTAACGATTTTGTCCGTCGAACATAGTTCGATCGTGTAAACGCACCTTTAGATGTTGACGCGGCAGAAATAAAAAAAAGAAAAATAGTTAAGATTTTCTCTCTCCAATCAAATCTTTTTTTTTTCCATTCAAAATCCAGATACGCCAATACATACCACTTCTCCCCACTTCACCCATCTCACCAGGCAGTGTAAACGATTCACCCCCATCATCATCTACCACATTTTCTCTCACACCTACCCACACCTCTGTCCCGGACGTCTGTCTCCTCTTCTCATAAAAAAAAGCTCCCCACTCAACTCCTCTCCAGAAACTCCGCAGTCCATCCAAGACTTCCTAAACATGGCCCACAGGACACACCTCTCCCTCATCCACCCTCCGATCTTCCTACTCCCATTCTCAATACAGTGAAAGTGACTGCCGACATCCTTCGTCATTCCTTCTCGTGTTCCCTCTATCCCTCTTCTTCCTCCTTTCTCCCACCACACCCCATCCTCCCCAACACCCCCTGCCCGTATCCCAATCTTTCCCTGTCAACCCTTCCGCCCCCTCCTGGATACTCACGTGACGTCATTTTGTCACAATACTGTCCTCCTCCAGATCCTTCCCCTCCTAAACACTCTTCCTGATACTTCTCCTCCTTCCCCAGTCCCCTTCCCTTCCTAACACTCTTCCTTATACTTCGCCTCCTTCCCCCGTCCCCTTCCCTTCCTAACACTCTTCCTTATACTTCGCCTCCTTCCCCCGTCCCCTTATCTCGTTCCACCGATTCTTCTTCTACTTCTCCGTCACCTATTTCTAATCTTATCACCCTCTGATTACTCCACAATGGTTCCTCTTTCATTCCTACACATCCTGCAACCCTATTTCCGCCTCACAGCATCCCGTGCCTCTGTTTTTCCTCACACCCGTCCTCTCTTCCCCGATCCTGCTGGGCGTCCTCACAGAATCTCCCAGGTTTTTCCTCTGACAATTTCTTTTCCGTCAACAAAGGCACAAATACCCCCTCCCCCCTTTGGATCTAACCACCCTTCGCCCTCAACCCCCTCCCCCTCCCCCCTTTGCCAACCCCAGTCTTACCAAATTAGCTCCCCCTAAGTACCTATTCATTACCTAACTATCCTATAATGCTGTACGACCTTTGACATGTAACACATTTTGTTCTAATACTTTTTACCATTTTCTCCACAATACTTTATCAGAATGAGTGTGACCTTTGATGAACCGCATTCGTTGCGACTAATGTGGAAAAGGATTGAATGAAAATTAATATCTTTGACTGGTTTCAGTCATATCACACACACACACACACACACCACGCACAGATATATGTAATATAATCGAAACCGGTCAGATAATCTCTTGTACTGATACTCATTCTCATTCACACCTTTTCTACAATGGCGTTTAATGTCCAATCCATCTATTGTTATAACCATTAACCATTTACGAGCGACGGACCGCTAACACTTCGCGAGCGTAGCGACGGAACACTAAAGTCGCGGATTTCGAGCGCACGGACAGACATTCTCAGCCCCCCCCCCCCCCAGCCAGCACCCTCCAGAAACTCTTCTCACTTGACGGGGGGGGGGGGGGGGAAAGGGGGGAGGGGGTACGGGAAACGCGAAGAGGATGAGGCTGGATGTCGGCAGCCACTTTCAATGCCAAGGGAATGGGAGAAGGGAAGGTTAGAAGGTGGATAAGAAAGAGAGGTGCGTTTTCATACGATCGAATGCGTACCTTGCGATTTATGACGTCACTCAGAAGAGGAATTCTTTCAACGAAGCGACTCGAAACTGTGTACACTGAGATCTCCTTTCAGAAGAAAAATAACCAATGTTGAAATATATTAATTATAACTATGACGTGTGTTGTCAACAAGAAACACTTTGTTATTATTCCATAACTTATATTACTAACGTATATGTTTTCTACCTGTTTGTACGAATTAATGCTTTCGCCTTATGATATTATACCAATTTTTTTTACATACCTCTTTATAGATGCTGATATTCCATTCCAAATATACACAAAGTGGAAGTCCTTCAAACACTACTTATATTTATGTGGATTTTGAATGACTAAGCTTGTTTGTTTAACATTTTGACATATATTTTGCTTCGGTTTTAATACATCTTACACTGTCAGCTGTGCCTCGTGCTTTACCCATATTAAATTAAATTATTAAATCTTACGCTTAGTATTAGTCATCTTAGTATTTATTTAACCTCTCGTTTATCTAAAACATTATTTCTATTCCCTAACAAGTTGTATTAATGTTCCTACTTTACTGCTGTTCTAATTAGAGTTCGTATTAATATAAGTCAATGTCGCTCAGCAAACCCAAAAATGAATAATGATAATAACAATAATAATAAGATAAACAAAAAACAAAAGAACAATCTTGTACTCTCAAATACTTATGTAGAATAACCTATGTATCCAATAATTTTTTTTCTCTCTATCTCTATCTCTCTTCCTTTTCATTCTGCTCCTTTTTCCTTCTCCCACTTTTCTTCTTCGTTTTCGTTCTCTTCTTCTCTTTCTTCTGCTTCTTTTTCTTCCTCTTTTCCTCCTCTGCCTCCGCCTCCTCCTCCTCCTCATCTTCCTTCTCCTCCTCCTTTTTCTCTTCCTCCTTTTCCTTCTCGTCCTCTTCCTCTTCCTCCCCCTACTCATCCCCTTCTTCTCCCTCTTCCTCCTCTTCCTCTCCCTCTTCCTCCTCCTCCTCCTCCTCCTCCTCCTCCTCCTCCTCCTCCTCCTCCTCCTCCTCCTCTTCTTCCTCCTCCTCCTCTTCTTCCTCCTCCTCCTCTTCTTCCTCCTCCTCTTCTTCCTCCTTCTCCTCTTCTTCCTCCTCCTCCTCTTCTTCCTCCTCCTCCTCTTCTTCCTCCTCCTCCTCTTCTTCCTCCTCCTCTTCTTCTTCCTCCTCCTCCTCTTCTTCCTCCTCCTCTTCTTCCTCCTCCTCCTCTTCTTCCTCCTCCTCCTCTTCTTCCTCCTCCTCCTCTTCTTCCTCCTCCTCCTCCTCCTCCTCCTCCTCCTCCTCTTCTTCCTCCTCTTCTTCTTCCTCTTCTTCCTCTTCCTTCTTCCCCGTCCCCAAACCAGTCAGCCTTACGTCTGCCTTCTTCCTGTTAATCGTTACTTGTTTAATTTCTTTTCCTTCCTTCTTCCTCTTCCGCCCCCCCCCCTTTTCTTCCTTCTCCCTTGTCAATTCCTATTCCTCCTCCTCCCTCTTCATCTTCATCCCCACTCCCCTCATTCCCTCGCTACCCCCCCCCCCCCTCCCCCCCGCTGCCACCTCTTCCCTGACGAGCTGCTTGCATGAGTCACCCGCGACGTTTGGTTGATCGGCTGCGAGGGCACAGCGCGGGGCCGAGGGGGTGGGGGTGGGGGTGGGGGTGGCAGAGGCTGTGAGAGTTGCGAGGAGGGGGAGGGGGGGGGGAACTTGCGGCGTGGGAGAGGGGCTCATCAAAGAGCTCACCCTCGATGGATTCATCCTCGAGATGATGGTTCACCCTCGATGGAGCTCATCCTCAAGGGGCTATCCCTCGAGGGACTCATCCTCGAGGGGCTTATCCTCGAGGTGTTCATCCTCGAGGGGCTCATCCTCGAGGTGTTCATCCTCGAGGGGCTCACTCTCGACAGGTTCATCCTCGAGTGGTTCATAATCGAGGGCCCTAACCTCAAGAGGATCATCGTCGAGGGGTTCATCTTCGATGGGCTCAGCCTCGAGAGGTTCATCCTCGAGGGATTCAGTCCTCGAACTCATTCTAGAGAGGCTATCTCCTAGGGGCTCAATCTCGAGGGGCTCTTCCTTGAGAGGCTCATCTTCGAGGGGTTCATTCTCGAGGGACTTAACTTCTAGGGGCTCACCCTCGAGAGGCTCATACTTGAGGAATATTTCCATCAAATCGCCTTATGCTTGCATGGCGTTCGGGTATCTCCGGGCGCAGAGGTTGCAGGTGCTGCAAGTTCTTGCGTTGTTAGTCTATCGACTTTGGTCAAAATTATATGCACATGTCCTTGTCTTCCTTGCATCCTCTTTCTCTTTCCCTTCCTTCTTCTCGTCTCTATTCGAGTTTATCTCCTCTCTTGTTTCGCATTTAAAGGTTCCCAAATCTTTCGTTGTACTTGTTTTTCGCTATCCCGGTCAAGCCACTACTTAAGTTCCTCCTCCTCCTCCACTTCATCGGTATTTTATTTTTACGTCTATCTCTCTCTCTCTCTCTCTCTCTCTCTCTCTCTCTCTCTCTTTCTCTCTTTCTTTCTCAATCTATCTATCTTTCTATATCTCACTCTCACGCTCTCTCTCTCTTTCTATACGTACGTGTGTATTTCTCTCTTCCTCTTCCTTTCCCTCTCTAATGATGGTGGTGATAGTGATGAGGATAATCGGTATATTAATTTATTTTATTAATGATAATAATAATCATAATAAGAGAGAGAGAGAAACAGACAGAAACAGACAAACAGACACACAAAGAGAGAGAGAGAGAGAGAGAGAGAGAGAGAGAGAGAGAGAGAGAGAGAGAGAGAGAGAGAGAGAGAGAGAGAGAGAGAGAGAGAGAGAGATACAGAGAGAGAGAGAGAGAGAGATACAGAGACAGACAGACAGAAACAGACAGAGACAAGAGAGAGAGACAGACAAGCAAACAGAGAAAGAGAGAGAGAAAAAAAGATAAACAGACAGGCAAACAGACACAGACACACAAAGACAGCATTAAAGAACATTAGATATGATCTAACTCAAATCTACACCTCGCCCATGTTCTTGTTATGTCTACAGCGACACGTCAGCCGGCGTACCGAAACCGTTTCGCATCAAAACAAGGTCACACGGAACCGATAATTGTTTCTAAAACATGTTAACACACCAAGCCTTAAGGAAAGTGCTGACGGAAGTATATTCAGCACAGACGCCATCTTCTTGGCCCTCAGTCACTCCCTGATCCTTGTTCAGTGCGCAATGGCTTCCAACGATCCCAAGAAACCTTCAACCGCTGCTGAAGGTGCTGCAGCGGAGAAGAAGGAAGAAGCATGTTCTCGCCCCTGGAAGACGGTGCGTATAACAGACATGTATGACACATGGCTGGAGTTCACCAAATCTGTGAGTACTAAAACTTTATTTCCACCCCACCCTCTCTCTCTCTCTCTTTCTCTCTCTCTCTCTCTCTCTCCCAGTCTGCCCATTTGTTTATATATCTATTTGTCCATCTGTCCGTGTCTATCAGACTCCGTCTCTCTCTCTCTCTCTGTCCATCTCTATCTCAATTTTTTCTCTCAGCCCTTGCATCCTCTTTCTTCTCCTCGGTTCTTGCGACGTAATTATAGAAAAAATAGAAATGAGTGAATCTGTAAAAAATATATATTTTGTTAACTTCAATTCCGCTTCTAATATTTGTGTAATTTAAAAAATCAAAAAGCCTCGAATGAAACACTATTTTGTTGTTTAGCGCTGTTTCCGTTGCATTTAGCAAACAAACACATCGTCTTTGTTGAAACTCTACGGGGACGGGGACTATGTTTCACGTATTACAAGAACTCGCTGAAATGAGAAAAAATATTATGAAATAAAAAGTAATCGGGTAGTGGACAAGGAAAAAATATGCTTAGTAATGATAATAGTGATGTTGTTAGTGATGTCGAAAATACGATTGAGGGATCTGATTATGGTATTACGCAAGATACCATCGACAAATCATCTGAAAACGGTGACGACATTAACAGTGAGAACAACACCGATGGAGATATGCAGGAAACGGACGAACTGTGGGACGCTACTCAGAAAATGATATCAGGTACGAATTACACGTATAATATAAATATGAGGAAAGCGCAGATGTAGCACAGATATGTAATGCTGTGAAAGAAATTTGCAGACTAAAGAGCCTAATCAAACATAAAGTTGACCAATCAGCCAATTATAGGGTATGATGGGGGACAAGAAAATAATTACGTCTCTCTCATGGAATATACGTGGTGTCAACCGTAGAATTAATGACTTGCTCTACTACATTCATAACAATAATGTTGACGTTATCTGTCTACAAGAGTGCAATATCAGCATTTACATATTCGAACAGCCTCTGGGTTTTTCTCTCTGTACAATGTATACGCAAGGTGTAGAAAGTTTCAAACTGATTCACTGCCCAGCTTTCAGAATCACGGCACAATATGCATGGGGGATTTCAATGCTAGACACTATACATTTGGAGACAGTCAATGCAATGAAAACGGCGAAGAGTTCCGAAATTTTGTGAACAATAGATCCATGACCGTATATGATACAGACAGGGAAACTTACGTGGCGGGGGGCAGGCTAGATAATGCAATAGGAAGGGATCTTGTGCATGGAGTTAATCAGTGACCACTTTGCAATAGTAACGAGATACGCTGTTGATAATAGTCTATCTGCAAAAACAAATCGGCTCAAAATTTCTATTCCTCCTTACATTGAGCACCACTTTAAAGCACGTATTCATGACTGGTATAACGACTACACAGTAACGAGTGTTGATAAATTCTCCATGGACATGACAAAAGTGGTCACTGATTACTACAACACCTGGGTCTGTCCAAAGAAAACCTCAAAAAGCAACAATTCACAACGCTCCAAATAACCTAAGTGGGTCGGCGACCCTACACTATTAAGGGAACAAAAGCGAGTTCAGGAGCTTCTTGATATTTACAAGCAGGACAATACCCGTGACAATCTTATTCAGATGCACATATATTGAAAAGTTCTCATAAGGAAGAACTAGTAGATCTGACGAAACTCAATGGCCTGAAAGCTGTACCATAAGGCACTACGATCAGTATAGAGATAGCAAGCCCTCCTATGGGTGGCACCGAAGTCGAACCAGACAATGGTAATTGCCAGAATACGTTTGGGTTACAGAATTAGATTCATCTGCACTTCTTGCACCGTGCAGTTGCCAATACATTCTGTAACCTAAACGTATTCTGGCAATAACCACGTCACATTGTCTGGTTCGACTTCGGTGCCACCCGGAGGAGGGCTTGCTATCTCTATACTGATCGTTTCGACAAACACGATGTGTTTGTTTGCTAAATGCAACGGAAACAGCGCTAAACAACAAAGTAGTATTTCATTCGAGGCTTTTTGATTTTTTAAATTACACAAATATTAGAAGCGGAATTGAAGTTAACAAAATATTTTTGTTTTTTTTACAGATTCACTTATTTCTATTTTTCTATAATTACGTCGCAAGAACCGTCTGATAGACACGGACAGATGGACAAATAAATATATAAACAATTACGGTCACTATGAGTGCTTTAACCAGATTTTTATTTATTTATTTATTATTATTTTTTTTACTCTTCTTCTTTGTGAAACATAACTTACTTTTTTTTTAACTTTTTCTAAGATTTATTTTTAATTCCCATGTGTCTGTTTATTCTTTTGGTTTAGACATCTTTCTTTATAGTTGGACATTTACGTCTTTACTTGTGATTATTGTTACATCATCTGCGTATATATTTTTTCTAACAATGTTAATGATAATAATAATAATAATAATAATGATAATAATAATAGTAATAACAATCATACTAAAAATAACAATGATAATGATAATAATAATAATAATGACAATAATAACAATAATAATAGTAATAATAAAAATTATAAATAATAACAACAGTATTAATAATGAGAAAATAATTTGATTCAGTTAATGATTAAGTTCCTCTCTCTATTGTTTCCTTACTTCTAATATGTACATGTAATAAGCATATGATCTAATTGAGTTAATATATATTCAAATTTAAACACACACAATAGCTTTCAAAATAATCTCTCTCTCTCTCTCACTCTGATAAATGACGTTGATAAACTGACAGAAATATAATATACAGAAAATGGGTTTACACACATACGCACGCAACACAACACACATACACGCACACACACACACACACACTCACACTCAAACACACACTCAGAAACAAACACACACATACATACACAGACACTCAAACACTCACACACACACACATATACACATACAGACACACACATACACACACAAAAAAAAAACACACAATCAAACCCACACAAACAGTCAGACACTCGGCTCTCACACATACACACGCATACACACACACAAACACACACACAGATACACAGATAAATAAAAAACACACACGCACACACACACACACACATACGCACTGCACACACACACACAAACACACGCACGCACACACACAAACACACACACACACACACACACACGCACTCAACCACACACACACACACATACACAAAAATATATATACACACACAAACAAACACAAAAAAACACACAAAAACACACGTACACACGCACACACATACACACATACACACACAAACACACACACGCACACACATATACACACACACACAAACTCACACACACAAAAACACAAACTCACACACACAAAAACACACATATACACACACACAAACACACAGCACAAACACACACACACATACACACACACACACATACACACACACACACACACACACACAAACACACACACACAAACACACACACACATACACCACAGACACACACACACACACTCATACAAAAAAATACAAACACACAAACAAACACAAAAAGCACACAAAAACACACACACACGTATACACATACGCACACACATACACACAAGCACACACATACACACACGCACACACATACACACACACGCACATACATACACACACGCACACTCACACAAACACACATACAAAATCATACACACACACACAAACTCACAAACACAAAAACACACGTACATACACAAACACACACACACACACACACCAAAGACACAAACACACACACACACACAAACGCACACACATATACACACATACACCAAAGACAC